GCCCGAGGCCGCCGCGCGCTTCGAGGCCTGGAAGACGGGAAAGACGGGCTACCCCATGGTCGACGCGTCCATGCGCATGCTCTACGCGACGGGCTGGCTGCCGCAGTCCGCGCGCATGGTCGTCGCGTCGTTCCTCGTCGAATACCTCCGCGTGTCCTGGGTCCAGGGCGCCGCGTGGTTCGAGGAGACGTTGGTGGACATGGACCCGGCGATCAACGCGATGATGTGGCAGAACGCGGGCCGGTCGGGCATCGACCAGTGGAACTTCGTCATGTCGCCGGAGAACGCGTCCCAGGATCCGACGGGCAAGTTCACGCTCCGCTACGTCCCCGAGCTCGCGGGGCTGCCGACGAAGCACCTGCACCGGCCCTGGACCGCGCCGGCGGCCGCGCTGGCGAAGGCCGGCGTCGCGCTGGGCGAGACCTACCCGCTCCGGGTCGTCGACCTCGCGGCCGAGCGCGCGCTCTCGACGGCGGCGGTCCTCGCCATGCGCGCGCGGCACCCGCGCCGCAACGACGCGGGCGGCTACGACGTCGTCGAGCTCCCGGGCGGCGCGACGACGCGCGTCTTCACGAAGAGGGAGTACCGCCTCCCCGCGGACGACGACGCGGGCAGGAAGCGGGCGACGCCGGCGAAGAAGGGGCGCGTCGCGAAGCGGCGGCGGTAATTTCTCCCGATTGGTGCCCTCAACGTGCAGGGGTCGGTGCACGCGAACAAAAACACGTCACGACAATCACAGGCAAGCAATGGTGCCGCCGGCAGCGGGAAAGCATTGTGCGCCCAATTGCCAGCCACGGACGCCGGACGACGCCCTTACGCTAGCTTGATGTTCGCTCTCGCGTTGCTGCTCCCGGGCGCAACTGCGCTGCTTGCGCCGCGGTCACACGCCAAGTACGCACCTGTCGGCAACCGCTCATTGCGGCGCGGGGCGAGCGCTTTGACCGTCGGCGCCGACGCCTACACCACCCTCCTCGACGCCTACCCGTTGGCCACGAAGGTCTGCACGAACGCGGCCGTCGCGCTGGCCGGCGACTACGTGAGCCAGTGCCGCGACGAGACCTCGGATGCCTACAGCCCTCTTCGCGGCGCGCGCTACGCCGCCAAGGGCGTCGTCGGCGGCTTCCTCTGGGTGCACTACTTCGACGCCGTGGACGCGTGGACCGCGGGCGTGAGCGGGTTTCCCCGCGTGCTCGACCAGATGTTCGTGGAGCAGTTTCTGTGGTGCCCGATCTACTTCGCGTTCTACGATCTGCCGACGGCGTCGCTGCTCAACGGCGTCGCGCCGGAGAACATCCCGGGAATCGTGCGGGCGAAACTGCTGGGCATGCTGGCCTCGAACGCGAAGCTCTGGACGCCCGCAAATTTCATCGTCTACTCCGTGCCTTTGGAGTACCGCCTCGCGGCGTCCAACGTCTTCGACCTCGCCTGGAACACGATCTCGTCCGAGATCGCCGCGTCCTGCGACGAGGAGGCATGTGACGTCGTCGACGCGCCGGCCGTCGCGCGGAGTCGATGATCACGCCGCAATTTCGTTCGTAAAAGTGTACATATCGAGTCCTTATCCCCCGGATCCGGAGGACTCGTCCTCGGAGTCCGCGTCCAGGGGCACGTCGTAGAGGACGTCGGCGCCGCCGTTGCGCGACCGCGCCTTGAGGAGGAGCGCCGCGCCGCCCGGGACCGGCGTCAGCGTCGTCGCCGCGTCGAAGGGCGCCACGTCGTTGAAGCGCGCGACGAGGACCGACGCGGACGAGCCGAGGAGCCGGTGCGCCGTGAGATCGCCCGCGACGCGAAGCACGAGGACCGTGTCGCGCCGCAGGACGCACGCGCGGATTTGCCCCTCGGGCGCGACGGACGCGATGCGCGTCGTCCGGTGCTTGCCGCGGCCGTTGTAGAGCCACGCGGACACGGACGACCCCGCGGCGGCGCTCGACCAGGACGCGAGGCCGCCGAGCCGCCGCTCGGGATCCACGGAAACGCCGGAGCTCGGGTTGAAGACCGCGAGCGGGTTGCAAAAGCACCCGTCGACGACGACCGCCGCGTCCAGGACGACGACCGCGGCGCGCTGGATCGCCGGGTAGAGGACGACGACGCGCGCCGCGTCGTCGCCGACGAAGTGGACGGCGGCCGCGCGGCCCGCGAAGGGCAGGCCGATCGACCGGCTCCGCCGGGCGTGGCCCCGCGAATCGTCCTCGACGTCGACGTAGACCGCAAGGGTCCGCTTCGTCTGCTCGTGGTACACCGCGACGACGCACGCCACGGAGCGCCGCCGGTGGCGCACGGTGACGCCGCAGGGCGGCCCATCGAGGGACACGAGCGCGCTCCGCCAGCCCGCGGTGCCGCCGCGGCCGAGCGTGAGCCAGCGCAGCTCGACGCCGCGCGTCGGCTCGCTCCTTCCGAGCGCGACGGCGCTTCCGTGGCTCGCGAAGAACTCGGGCCGCAGGACGCGCAGGGGCGGCCTCCGCGCCGTCGCCGGGAGGACGACGGACGACGTGCCGCGGGTCACGAGCAGCGCGCCGTCCGACGCCGTCACGCGCGCGCCGCGCGCCTTGACGTGATGCGCGACGTCGGGGCTCGCCGGCGCCATCGCCCGCAGCGCGTCGTCGAGCAGCGTCGACGGCTCCGGCGCGCGCAGGGCCCAGGCGTCGGCGCCGCAGGACGACGCCGGCGTGCTGTGCGGGAAGAGCGCGCGCCAGCGCCGGCAGATGGCGGCGTGGATGCCGCGCGACGTCGGTGCGTAGCAAGCCGCCGCCTCGCAGGCGCCGACGTAGCGCGCGACCAGGCGCACGAGGTCCTCGCTCAGGGGACGGTGTTTGTTTTGTGATGTGTTCGGAGCAAGCGGTTCCAGCTCCATCGTCGTTGGCCAAAGCTCAACGACAACGTCGGGCCCGAGTTGCAGTGCGCGGCGCGCGGCCGCGGCCGCCTTCTTTATCGATCCCCCGGGAGGAGGAGGCGCGGAGCCGCGAGCAAGCTTTTTTTGGCATCTGCCGACGATCATGGCTAGAGCGCAGCCGCTCAGCGGCGTCCTCGGCGCGGTCCGCACCGCGATGTGCGCCTTATTCGGCCGGTCCGGGGGTTCGAGTCGACGAGAATGGCCGGGGTGCGTGCCAGTGCGCGCGGGTACTGGAACGCGCTCTCGAGGCCACAGCTGCCCGGTGTCCAGTAGTCCTCCTTCTTAACCTCCCCCGCGCGACAAAATTTGCCTCGACGCCGACGGTGAAGGCCTTGTGAAGAGTGGTGTCGAACACGTATTCTTCAGATTTGTTAGAACTTGAAGCGATGCTGAATGCTCTCGACAGGGATCCTCGTAGTCCTCCGTGTCGACGCACTCGCACGCGCCGCAGGTCATGGGGCAGCCCGCGACGAGGAGCTCCGTGTTGGCGTCGTCGTCGTAGTAGTAGCACGAGTAGCCGACCTGCGGGAAGGACCCCCTGCGAGATGCGCGCGGGACGATCGGACGCTGGAACGCGCCCAATCCGCGCACTCGTAGCCCCAGGGGTCGACGAAGCCCTCTTCATCGGCGCAGCCCTCGATGAGCAGCGCGCCCGCATGCTTCGCGGCCGCGAGGAGACACAGCGCGGCGATCCGCATTATGCAGCCAGCGAGGAGATTGGTAGATGATGAACGCAGGCAGCCAGCGACGAGATCGGCAGAGCTGATGGCTTTTTTACGTACGACATCGCATCTAGATCAGGTTCTTCAGATTTGTTAGAACTTGAAGCGATGCTGAATGCTCTCGACGATTTGAAGCGCTCTCCGATGGCGCTGTCCAGCGCAGCCCCGGGGGAGGGTTTCCGTCGGGAGCTGCCCTCAGATGAGCGTGTCGATCGCGTTCGATGGGGCATTGCCCGGGATAGACCACGAGATCTGAGGGCGAGAACGCTTCGGAGAGCGCGGCGTCTGGGGCCCTGGATGGGCTGCCTCGGGGCGTCACGAGGACCCGATCGTCGCCGGAAACGCGGGTCCTCGCCTCAGATGACGATTCCATCCGGGTCATGGGTCGATGGGATGGCCTCGGGGCCCTCGACCTTGGGCTGGGGGACCTCAGGTCGGTCCCCGAGGGCTGCGTGGCCGTGGCGCCGTCTGAGCTCGACCTGGTGGACTCGATGATTTTGGGCTCCCCCGAGGAACCCGCCGGGTTGGACGCGACGGGGTCGATAAAGAACGATCTCCGCTGCTGCGATGGCTCGAAAACTATCTTAGAGGGGTCGCGAGGGGGCAGCGCGTCGCTTCCCACCCACTCTACCTCCCCGTTCCAGTTCCCACGCTGTCGTATGAGCGCCGCGTCTTCGCATGTGCCTCACCCTCATCCTTGCGGCCCTCGCAGCTGCTGGGATCGTTGCACAATTCTGCATATTCGCGGAGCGGCGGGCCCTCAAAGACGGCCATCCCATCGCAGCGCGCCGTCAAACGCTTCACGCAAAGCAAAGGCTATCGTTGAGGTAGATCTATAAAACGCGATTGCGCCAGTGGGTGATTGAAGGAGTAATTAAGTCCCGAGCGATCATTGGTCGAGGCGACTTAAGATCGAGAAGGCAAACGTATCTCGAATGAATTATGTCCAGCGCTCTGGTTGGCCGAGGACGCCATGGCGCCTCGTTGCTTCCCGGTCGTCGTTGGTACATCGTTTGAACATGGGACGCCATTGCGGCGGCGGCATCAGCGGCGGCAACGCCTACGAGCGCGCCTTCGGGCTGCCCGCCGGCTCCGTCGCGTCGACGAGCAAGGCCTACCGCGCCTGGAAGAAGAAGACGGACAAGAACAAGAAGCCCGCCTCCAAGCCGAAGCCCGCGACGAAGCGCGCGCAGCCGAACCTGGCGGTGCACGAGAAGATCAAGTACAACGCCGCCTTCAAGCCGCCGTCGCTGCTCTCCTACGGCAAGCAGGCGCTCCTCCCGGGCGCGGCGCCGGCGCTCGCCCCGCCGCCGCCGAATCGCGTCGCGGTCCGCGGCGACGTCATCGACCTCACGGAGTCGCCGAAGCCGAAGCCCTCGGCGACGGCGCAGCAGCGCGGCGGGCGCGCCGCGGCCTACCGGTCCCGGATCCAGGCCTGCGGCTGCAAGTACGACGACGGCGAGCGCGTCGGCGCCAAGGTCGCGACGTCGAAGAGCGCGACGAACTTCGGCCGGCTCTACTACACCTGCGGCTACGCCAAGGTCAACGGCTCGCGGGCGGGGCTCGGCGGGTTCCGCTGCGTGACCTCCGAGAAGCGCTGGATCGCGTGGGTCCGCGACGCGGACGTCGCCAAGGAGCGCGACCGCGTCG